TAAATTTTATGTTTTGGACGTCCACAACTAGAGGGGGGGGGGCGGGTGGTCAAGTCAAAAGTGGACAAAGGGGAAGGGGGGGTGTAAATATATATTTATATGTATATATATATATATATATATATATATATATATATTTGTTTAACTGGATTATCATCTAAAAATAAATTTTCAAAAATGCGTTCAAATATCTGTTGTATGGGGGGGCGGGTGGTCAAGTCAAAAGTGGACAAAGGGGAAGGGGGGGTGTAAATATATATTTATATGTATATATATATATATATATATATATATATATATATTCGTTTAACTGGATTATCATCTAAAAATGAATTTTCAAAAATGCGTTCAAATAGCTGTTGAATATTGTTTATTACCCTGAATTTAAAAAGAGTAAAATCCTTGTGATTTAATAAATATAGGCTAAGTATTTTAAAAAAAACAACAACTTCATTTTACTCTGTTGTTAACGAAATTGTTACAAGATTAAAAACACACTCGATTTAATAATAATTTTAAATTCCTAATTTTTGTTTTAAAATATATATTTTTTTAAAGTTTTCATTTTATCTAAGTTAATATACATGGATGGAATCGAGTACATTAAAATGTATGCTTAAAAAAATTAAAAATTAAAGCATGATAATGATGCAATTAGACATTTTATAATTAACATTACTTTAACAGTGATGATTTTTATGATGAAATATAATTTAGAAACAGATTGCACATGTTTAATACTTAGCAAGAATTATATTCAATTTATAGACTTTTATATGGATGTTAAGGTAGTTTAATACAATTACAGTGTTATTAAAGTCTTTCAACTTGTGCTGCAAAATATAAATCAATAAAAATACCGATATATGCGAATAACATAAAGTAAGATTTTGGCTTATGATCAGGAGCGGCCAATTTTCAAAACAATACGATATTTATAATAGAATTCTGTGAGCCTGTAACAAAATTCAGTGGCGTTACCGGGGGAGGGGGTGCAGACCGCACCGGGTGACACCATCCCAGGGGGTGACACCAAATTTAAAAAAATGCATATTTACAGAGCACACACTGCTCAGATAACTGATCACATGTTAATTTTCCACACGTGTAACCAATCCAAAAGCGTGCTTTATTAAAAGTTCAAGGTAGATGCGTAAAAAAAAGTGAGGTTTCCTTATTATTAGGTCAGAAAAACACAATTTTGACCACTTTTTAACGCCGATAGAAGTGTTCGTAATTTCGTAAGTAACAGGAAGCAATATTTATAGAAAGTCTAAGAAATAAAGCTTTCTATTGATACCAAATACGATATGGTCGAGCGATTTTAAGTACATGAATCACAACTGTAAAAATTAAAAACATAAAAAAATTAACTTTTAATCATTTGTAGGGTTAACAAAAGATTATTTTACATCTTTTAATTATTAATTAATTTTTTTTTTTAAATAAAAGGTTATTGAAACCAAATATATCTCAAATTAATATTTTCGCAGATTCATTACTAGCACCGCCTCTTAAAATTTGAGCATGATTGTCATACAGCACAAGGTCTTTTACATGCTGTCTGTGATTTCACGTTTATCTGCTACCTTTACCTTTGTGTTGATCTACTTGAGGAAGTTAATCTTACACAACAGCATCTGCAGGCCAAAGAATTTACTCTGGACAAAGTGGTGTCTATCCTATAGGCCTTAAGATTGTTTCTGCACGAGAAGACTTTCACATGGTGGAACACGTTATTGAAAAGTGTCACAGAACGGTTGTTACGGAGGAGGGCTCCGGTCCTGACTTATCACAAATTGTACTGATTTAGTAGTGGTCAGTACAGGACCTTTCCTCTCTGTGATTTATATTGTGGGTATCTAGGCGTTGGGAAAAAGCACAACGTAGACTTGAATGAAAACTAAGCAACTCAAACTCCAGGCACAGCCCTTCCTCTCTGTGATTTATATTGTGGGTATCTAGGCGTTGGGAAAAAGCACAACGTAGACTTGAATGAAAACTAAGCAACCCAAACCCCAGGCACAGCCCCCCCCCCCCAACCCGACACGTGCCTGAAAGAAACCCTGAAGATGACTCTCGAAAAACTTACTAACGAAACTAACTTGCGTACCGCCAGAAGACCTCCGGCTCAAGGCTGCCGGCACAGCTCACCAATCACAACACTCCACACACAATCGAAAACACCCATTCATAACAGCTGGCACGGGACGAGAGAGTCACGTGGGGACCAGAACAATTATTACCCTGGGTATACACTCCGATAGTCATCACAACACAGACTCTGTTTCAACCCCTTCCGAACAAACCCTGGCGAAAATCCTAGAGCTCTCCCACTACTGACCCCCACTACTGAACCTTCTCCAGCTGTTCACCAGAACACTGCACGAGAAAGACGAAAGTGACACGTGAGTCAAAAACCAAAAAAAATCCCCCCCCACCCCGATGGAAATGCGAGTAGAAAGAAAGTCTTCAATAACAAGCGGGGAGAGGGGGGTGGGAAAACCTTTGTTGTAGAGCAGTGGTTCTCAACCTTTCTAGTGCTGCGACCCTTTAACACAGTTTCTCGTGTCGTGGCGACCCCCAGCCACACAATTATTTTCGTTGCTACTTCATAGCTGTAAGGATATGTGTTTTCAGATGGTCTTAGGCGACCCCTGGAAAAGGGTCCCGCGACCCCCAAAGCATATGGCAGATGAGGAGGCAATACCGCACTGGTTCTGTTTGTTTCTAGACATTAAGATGTAGCCACTCTGACCCCAGGATGTTCCCCAGCTGTGGAAAAAAGTCACTGAGAATGATGTTGGAAAAAAGGAAAATTGGTTTAGGTACCATTTATAAAAGCTTGAGTGGGGTTCCAACAATGAGACAGTTGTGTGCAACATTCTGAATGACACTATCTGAAGTGATGTATCACGGATCAAACAATGTTTTGAGGATATGTATATTTTGCACTGTTTATCATACGCTTCATCTCCTGGATATAGACCCGAAACAATATCTTCAGCACCATGTCTGTCTAACAAATAATAAAAATGTGGTGTGGCAGTAATCTCATTGTGGTATAAAAACATAAGCTACTTTTACGTCAAGTTACTCATCTTTGACACATCCTATACAGTAGCCCTCCGCTTGGAAACCTCACCTGTTTTTCACGGTCCAGTAATCTTGAGTTCCATTTGTTCCATAACCCACAACCAAGACAGCGTGGTCTAATTGGTACGTGCTGCAGGCTGGTTCATCGTACACACCACCCTTATAGAGCATGAAGCTTTTATGGATTGCATCTATGGCAACACTCATTGGGCCAACCTGCAAGTAAGGGCAGTGAAGTGTACCCCAGTTAATACTTTTACATTTAAAAATGCAATTCTTAAAAATCCACACTGGACATGGACATTGCTTTAGATTCCGGTACACACTAGAAATAGACATTGGTTTAAATGCACACAAGACTTATAGATCATATAACATAATACAGTGTTCCCTTACGTGCTGTGATGAATTAAGACCTGCGGAGGCTCCTAGGCAGTCAACATTTTTTGGGGTGCTCTTGGAAAGGATCTCTTAAAGTCACATCCGTCATTATTAACTGAATACAACCTTTTGTTAAACATGTTAAATATAAATTAAAGACATTTAGTTTCACATCTTTAGTTATTCACTCATTAACCCAATTGGTTGTACAGCTTCTTCGTTTTTTTTTCCTAATTTTCAATCCTTCTAAGGAAAGGCAAAAATAAATCATTTCATGTAAATAGGAAGAGTAGATATTTTACACATAGGGGCCACATCCACAAATGACGTCAAGCTATTTTAGCCGATTTTGAACCACCCACCCTATCTTTAAAATTTGTCACACAATTTAGATACCCTCATGATAGATCATTTCAAAACCCAACCCCCCCCTAAAGTCATTTATGGATGGCCCTAAATGGGTTCATTCAGATTCAATGTATATTTTACATTTTGATATTTCACACTACAATGCCATATTGTTAATTGGTATCCTTTAGAATAAACGCACCTTTAACCCTTAACAAAAAAAGGGGGGCAAAATATATATTAAATTCTTAATTGTTCAATTTTTGTGTGTGCTTTCAAAAAGAAAATGCATATTCTGTTGAATAGTTTTTCCCTGTTTGGCAGTCCCAGAAAATGCAACTGAAGGCTTAACAGCATGCTCCATCAGCTGTGAGTGAAGAAATCAACAAAAAGTAAAGCATTCATATTTCTCTATTTGCTGGTGGTGAAATTTTTCCAGATATCTTTGAATTCTACAACATCCAAAAGATGTGTTCAGTGGCTACGATGGCAAGTGATTTGAGTAGTTCTTGAGCATTGTAGGACAAATTTACTGATTTTAGTTGTTTCCCTTTCATCTTTATTTTCTCCCCTTATTATAGAACTAGTGTATGAAGATGTTCCAGATGCACATGACTACTGTACATTATGTCATTTCACAAATGTTTAAGAAAAAAATATTTGGATCCTTTGTAGCAGGGTATATTGCCTTTAAGTTAATTCAGCACTGATAATGTGGGCACTTCGCTGTTACCAAGGGCAATTTGATGACTGAATTGAAGATTATGCTGGATCATTGTCTCTAGATAGGGAATGTATTTAATTTAAGAAAAAAAAACTGGGGGGGTGGGGGCAATATTAAATGTTATCTACCGTACTGTTATTGTCTGTTATATCTTGCAATCTCTTATACATATTTGGCTTCTGGTGCATCTTGCTTTCTCTTCAAAACCGGGCACTCATCCCCACTGAGTAAAAAAAAAATGCTAAGTTTTATCGCACAACTTTGAATCTCCAGAAGTAGATGGATGGCCATATTAAAATTCAATCTTCTTGACAGCAGTGCAAAGATCCCCATTTCTTAATTTTTTTTTGTTTACCCTTCTACTTGAGGGGTGGGGCATTAAAACATTTTAGCTCCTCAAGGGAGGAGTGAGGCAAAAAAATTTTGGTAACATCAATAATTGTAAGACAGGCTAAGTCAAATATGTGGCGACAGCCTTCTGAAGGTCATCCTCGCTTCCAAGTACCACTTTGATGTATGACTTGATTTGTGCACCGACATTGCTGGAGTTAAATCTGCAAGTGCCTTGCTGTAGAAAAACATTTAGTATATTATTTATTTGACTGTAGTTCATGAATCTTGTCCCAGTCATCTCTAATGTTGCAGTGTTTTAATGTGAATAATGAACATTTGAGAAATTGAATAGAGTCTTTAATGCAAATAGAATATCTTTTCTGTGTCGGTCGTCCCCCCCCGTCCCACCTGTTGGATCCACAATAGAGATATTGGAATAATATGTTGAATATTGAAGTTGAATGTGAATAAATATGGGTGGGTCGCAGTGAAAAATCATAATAATAAGGTCTATAACTCAAGCTAAGTTAGTTAATGCATGGTCCTGTAAAGGTAAGTAGAATATACATATGCATGGGGACAGTAGCGGTAACTGAATAAATCTGGGTTAAGTAAAGGTAAGTAGAATCCAAAGGCTCGATCTTCATGCCCTCCTAACTTCTCCTTGTAATACAAAGCCAACAGAGCAGCTGCTGCAGAACTCAAGAGACAATCCAGAAAACCCCCCGAACAACACTGGACTTGTAGATGTACCGTCCATTCCTTGCACCTGCTTCACATGAACAATTTTGTGTCAGAATTGATCCCATCAGCCATCTGCCCAGCCACAGACAGAATCAGCCTAAGCACCAATGGAATGATTTAAGTGGTCCTCATCAATTCAACATACAAACTAACACAAGAATATACAATGAGACTTTACCACAATGGGTAAGTAGACTATACCTTATGAAAGAAAAGGTAAGTAACATATATTTAGAGACTGTAAGGGTGAGCCAAGTATACCTTGGGGGTGTAAGTGTAAGATGACTCTGTATCGATTCCTTTGTTATAGATAATGTATTGAAATGCCATCTCTGGCCATCCTCCCCACAGCCATAGTTAGCTGTGGAGAATAAGAAAAAGGTGTATGTGCAGCTTCCAGTCATGCACATGCCATGAAAATGTGCTCCTTTCATTTCTATTTTTTTTAAATAAACAGGAAAGGTTTATAAATTGACATGTAATATTTAGCAACTCTATTAAGTAATATTGTAGCATCCCTTGTGAGAAATAAATTGAGCACCAATACCTAATGAAAGTATAATAATTGCATCTGATGTAGTGTTACTACCTCTAAGAGTGCCCGTAAATATTTTCCTCTAGCCTGAACAGTCAACAAGATTTGATTCTGAAAGTGAAACAAGATCTCCAGTGGCCTTGAAATGTTGACCTTCAACAGAGCCAGTTGTGGAGAAAGCCCAGCAAGATCAGCATTGACTTTGATTTTTGACATCTGTCACAGCGCCCTTTGTTCTCCAATCTACGCTGTCCGGTTATATTCCCTTGTACATGCCACTGACCACTGGCAAAGGTTGCTCTTGGTTGTCCAGGTTAATGTAACATTTCATACTCCTGGAGAATTCTTCCAAAGTCTGACAAGATAAAAGAAAGGGATTTTATCAATTTCCTTGTTGAGTAAGCAAATCTTTTCTTGGTTGTCATGATGACAGATGTGTCATAGCAACCAAGATGGTGGTTGTGGAAAAAAAAAAGTATTGCCAAAACACTTCTGCTAAAATGGGGAGGGGAAGGAGAGAGAATGTGCTGTTTTATATAAATAACTTATTGAGAGAAAAGAAAATTAGGAGCAAAACATTAAAATTTAATGAAATAATTTTTTGAGAAATACATTCAATCCTAAAATCTACCACTCTACCTTATCTAAATGATAAGTCAGTATCCCTAACTCAAGTGAAAATTCCACCCTACATTTAGTCCCACTCACTTGAGTATAAATTTAACCCTAAATTTAGATCCCCTAAATTAAGAATAAATCTTTAAACCTAAAATCTATGGTCAATACCTAAAATTACCCTAAAACAACATGTTCATGTGTTACAGTCACACACTGTACTGAGAAAATTGTAAATTTGAATAAAATGATTCCAATTATTTTTTAAATATTCAAAAACAAAGAAAACTGAAAACCTAACTTATAGTTTCTTTGAAAACAACACCCACTTTCCAAAATGCTGAAATATTTAAATATTGTTAACCACCCAATGAAATATTAATTTAAAACATTCAATAGACAAATTAATATATACAAAAGGAAGTTAACTCTATTAACAATCCAAGAATAAACAAAAAAGAGAGAATCCTACACAGAAAATCAAAGTGGCACACCGAACAGATATTAGCCATGTTGGTAATTTTTTTTTACGGGCAGGATCCAGTTAACAGACCTGTTTACTCTTACGATTTTGGCGAACAATACGATTTTGAGGTGTATACATTATATATACAGCACGTTTTTGCTCTATAAAGAGAATGTATTGAACGATTATATGATGATATTGTACGATTTTAAGGGTTTGAGGGTAAACAGGTCTGAGTTAATATTCTTTATGAGTTTTGTGTAATACTAAATTTGTGTGATACAGCTGAGACCCGCAGGCTAGCCCGATAGTGCAATATTAGATCACCGACTGCAGCAACTATCCCCTGCCCGCAGTGTCAGAGATTATTCCGAGCACGGATCAGACTAGCAAGCCACCTACGAGCTCACCGTAACCTACCCTCCCCTCAACTGGATGACTCGATGGTCCTAGTAGATTTCGACAGATGAACAACAACAAATTTAGTAAATGTTATCTTAATGTTAATGACTACTTTACAAGCTCACCATGTCTGCATACTTGTTCTCTCCGAGATAGTAGCTCTTCAAGCCCTGTGAGTACAATTCATTGAATTCTGCAATAGTCTTTAAGTTGGATTCCCATATAAAGCGTCTAATGACATCATCATCTCCTGTGTAGGTTTTGTTGTATCTCGACTTGAAAACAACCCATTCAGCCTCAGTGCTTGCAGATGCCAGTGTCAGGACAAGGGCGAAAATGATCAGTTGCAACATCTGGAAATTTATTTCACTTTATGTCTAAATTCACAATGAGGGATACTAAAATAAAAATGGTAAAAGTGCAGTTCAGTTGTGTATATTATTTCTGGTCGAATTTCGTATTTTAAAGTAAAATGCCATCTTTTTGTTGCAATACAACATTTTAACAAATTTTACCAGATAAAAGAAAAGTACATTTTAATGGATCTTTTGTATTTTACGGAGCCATTGTGTTAAATCAAGGATAACTCTTCTGTCTTTAAAGATATGTTATAAAAGTTGCCCATTGGACATACATAGCCAGTTTATAAGCCACATAGCAATTTTTACGAGCGCCTTACGAGAAATTCCATAGTTGTATTAACGTTATTTGTTGCCTCACAAAGTGCGCGTATAAACAAAATGCTGCATCATTTAAAATTTTCACTGGATCAAAAAATTTGAATTATTGCTTCTTGGTCGTCCTGCCATTTTGAACAAAGTGATCCCACTACCAGCAATACCGCAAAAGAGTACGTCTCATTATATATAATCACTAGCCCTCACCCTCATTTTACTCAACGCAAATCAGTCAACATAAGCGAATTTGCATACGAAAAAGGGGGAGGGGTGCTCAATTTAGAGCTGACCATTCATGGACAACGTATTTGCAGCCATCAGTATGAGATGACTATCATAACCCCACGCTATCATTCCAATTTCACCCATTTCTGCAACGTCACAAATATTTGTTTTAAAAGTGGACAGGTGATCACAAATTAGCATAAATTCGTGGACCCCCCCCCCCTTCCCCCCTTTTCAGCTCCACTCCAAGACAATCATGACCTGTGAGTCTCCTGCCTTCGTGGGTAATCCACTTCTAATCCCCCCCCAACGACTTCAAGGAACAACCCTTATATTCCAAGCGCTCTGAGATAAAAAAAAATAAAGGGGAAGGGGGGGGGGGCGCTCGTGCATAATAAAAAATACAGTATTTCATTCTTTTTTTGTGAATATGCCTACAGTTTGAAAATTTCGTTTAGCATACTAACTTATAGGTAATTAAAAATCTGGCCAGACGATGGAAAAAACACAAAACAAAAACACATGGGGCTATGTAACTATTGGGGGATGTTTAAAGACGCTTTAGAAATAAAATAAAAATAAAAAAAACGCGGTATAAATTATAACTGTATAATTCACTTAATTCAGTATTAGTTAACTATAACTTCTGCATTTATGAATAGGCCTACGCGTAAGTAATTAGTGACGTTGACGTTAAATAAGAAATGCGTTAAGAAATAATATACGCACCTGAACCGCACTTTTAACAGAAAATTAGACCATTTTAAATTAGGTGTACGTTTAAATGACAACATCAGGCTAGTTAGAACGGAAATTATAACAGTAGACTGAGATTTATTAAAAATGAACCGGGCCGAGTCACGAGTGAGTAGTTTTTAAGTCAAGTCAATCGAAGTAATTTAAATTTAATTTAAAAAAAAAATAAAATAAGCAAGTAAGTGTCCAAGCGGAAACCACATTGGTTCTGTAATTAGACCAAAATTTTACTGACATGCGCAACCGAATTCTGGTAGAGAAATTCGTAGATGTTGTGCTCCTATTGTACCAGATCATATCCATTAGGCCTGCGTTCAGCCATCTTGATTGTTTATCATGACGATAGCCTTGAACTTTTAGCCTTGTGGTTAGAGTTGTACCCCCATGATACAATCACATTAGATACATATTTCTCAAAAAAATTAAGACAGCATTCAAATCCGAATCGATAGAAAAAAAATTGTACGAAAAAAATGAAGATGATTGCAGTGGAAGTAAAAGAATATATGATACATTGTTAATTTTTTCAGTTCACTAGCTTTGGTATCGTTAAACAAATATTTACCTTAATATATTGGGTTATTTTGTTCTTTGCCCGGCTAGGCTACTAATACTAATAGTAATACTTAGTAACTTAGTAAAAGACTAGAACTGTTTTGTTCATGAGCCAAAGTTAAACTAAATGGTTAATCCTAAAAACATAACGTAACTATGTATAATGTACTATGTACCCATTGTAATATGCCCGGCTTACCTTGTACATTTATGAGCCTTGAATCTGTGTACCAAGTGACTTCAATTTCAATTTTTAATTTGGTAATACAATTACAATCACTTATTAACCGTCAACATGCTCATGTTTCATTTTCTAGTGCCCATTTTTCTGATGATCTTCTTGTTTATATAAAAAAAATCGGGAGTAACAGAAAGTATTAGGCCCTACAAAGTGCTTCCCCCCCCCCCTTCACGGATCTAAATTAGTAATAACATCTAGCATGCTTGTAAACAGGTGAAGTGAGCGGTTCTAAAACGTATGCAGGATTGTTATTAATTTGATTTAACTTTTGCAATTTTTGAACATGGTAACAACCCTGTTGTACAACAAGCAGGGAACTGCTGCTGGTGTCAAGTGGTGTTTTGCTGCACATGGGGTTGTTTACGCCTCAAATTTAAATGTCGCCGAGTGGCGAGTGGCAGCTGACAGTTTTAAATATGTTTGGTCTACAAACTCAAAGAAATTCAGGTCTTGAGAATGCGATAACCTTTTATTTGTTTAAAAAAAAATTGTTTATAAAGGAGTGGCAGAAGAAAAATTGTGAGAAAAAGTTCGAGGCAAAAGGATCCGCAGAGAAAGAAAGGACACTATCTGAAGGGGAAAACCCCCCAAATAATAGTACAGGTTAACAATGTCCTGGCTAGCATATGAATGACAAAACTAACAAATAAACGTGTTAAATGACTCTGAAATTACAGGTTATGACAAAATAGACTTAACTAACAATATAGATGCATAATGAGCCTATTGTACCTGTTATTACTGTTTTACGAATGACGATCACAAATTAAAATTACATTCTTGTATATCATTGTTCTCCCAGCCTCATCCAGCACACTGTGCATCCATGTTCTCTCAGCCTCATCCAGCACACTGCTCCTCCATGTTCACCCAGTCTCATCCAGCACACCGAGCCACCCATAATCTTCGGGGCCTACCCCTTTGTCTTTAACCTTGGGGGTTCCGAGAAAGTTGTCACAACCACTGGTGTTTGTTGTGCATAAACGCTGCAGGATATTCCCTTCTACCATGATGATTTTTCAAAAGTTTAAGAATGAAAGATGAGCTGAAAGATGGCGCACTTTCTAGAATTTTTTTGAAGGTAATGATGGGAATGGATAGACTCAGAACTGTTTGAAAAAATGGATTCATAACTTTTGTGAAACCATCAAAGGACATCCTCATGCTTTTGATTTTAGATGTGTATGCCACCTACACCAAGATCTTTCTAACGAAAGCATCAGACTCAGGGAGTAATAACGTAGAAAATTCTCCCACATACTACACATCGCATGTAATCTCTTGACATATCTGTTTTCAACCTATTGCACACATATTATAAGCAAGAGGTGGAAAAGTGGCTGTGAATTGACCTCGTCAGAGGAATAACCCTCATGGGGATTGCCTTTCCAAAGGTTGCCTGAATGTGTAACACTTTGAGTGGATTTCGTACTCCTAGTATTTGGCCTTTCAAAAGACATGTTTCTGGAGACAATAAATTCATAGCATTGCCCATCAATGACCAGAACGCTGTCACAATTCCTTGTTTAGATGTTATCTCATCACTCTATCATCCTGAGAGACTTCACCCCCCCCCCACCTCTCAATGTGAGGCATTGTTATAACATTGATAAAAAGAGTTGTGAATTTTTATATTACTACATTTCAACCACTAAACTTATTGAAAAAGTGGATACATTGAATCATCACTATGGTCGATATTTGTATGACACTATCACTTGTATGACACTATTACCTTTATGACACTATTGATTGATTGGATATTTATATAGCGCTGATATCCATGCTACTTTAACATGCTCACTGCGCTCTGGTTTTCTAAAATCTATTTAAAAAAAATAAATAAAAACATTTCTTAAATGATTTTTTAAAATCATTTTCAATTCCCCTCAAAGATTGAGACAAACTGTTCGATAATTTTGGCGCTATCCCTTCAAAAGAGCGCACTCGTAAGACTTTCTTCTGTGTTCATCCACACTGGGAATTTTCAGTAAGGATTGTGTTGAAGACTGCAGGTTCTTTAAGGATGTTGTTTATAAATCAGTTCTTTAAGATATTCCGGTGCAGAGCCTTCTATGCAGCTGTACGTCAAGGACAGAATTTTGTAGTTAATGCACTCACTCACAGGAACCCAATTGAGATCTCGTAGAACTGGGGTGATGTGGTCCGATTTCTTTATCCGCCATACAATGCGTGCTGCAGTATTTTGTTCATTCTGGAGTCTCTGAATTTTGTTCTGAGGTGAACACCACAAACAACTGCTACATTAATCTGTTCTCTTATTGAGTTGAAGACGCAGCTATCACTTGTATGAGGCAAATACAAATTTAAATTCACACCCCAAGCCCGACTCGCTTGGGTGCTCTAAGCAATTTAAAATATCTGGACCCCCCCCCTCCCCCCCCCCCCCCCCCCCCCCCCTCCCCCCCACCGATTATATCTGACTCAAAAGATCAGGAAATATGAATCATAAACTAAAACGTAAATTGATGAGATAAACAGAAGTTACACCTAAGTAGAATGTTATGTTTACATGTGTTAACATGATTTATTTCACTCAGGTTGTCCCTTACATTTTCTAATTGCAAAGTCTTTAATCAAAGCTACGTTTTCGTAACAAATCCGATTGTATACTCGGTAAAGATACAGAATCCAACTTCCCTTGTTGCATAGTTTTTCTCTGAGTTTTTGTTTTAAATTATATACTTTTGACTGAGAAAATGAATGCTCAGCTACTCAATTGATTGTCATTACTGTTACAAATATGTGGAATCTAATTTCAACATTTGGAAAGGCACACTCCGTATTGAAAGGATTAGCACTATCTCCTGTGCAATGGTTAGGGCTATTTCAAGTGCAAGGGTCAGGGCTATTCCAAATGCAAGGGTCAAGGCTATTTTAAGTGAGCAGGTCAGGGCTATTTCAAATGCCAGGATCTGTGCTATATCCAGTGCTATTCTCAAGGCTCTTGCTATTTTCATGGCCATGGCTATTGCCAGTGCCAGGGTCAAGGACATTTAAAATAAAACTGTCAAGGCTATTTCAAGTACCAGGGTAAAGCTATTTAAAATACCAAGGTCAGAGCTATTTTAAGTGGCAAGGTCAGGGCTATTTCAAGTACCAAGGTCAGGGCTATTTAAAGTTGCCAAGGTCAGGGCTATTTCAAGTGCCAAGGTCAGGTCTACTTCAAGAGCCACGGTCGGAGCTATTTAAGTGCCCAGGCAAGGGCTATTTCAAAGTTTGCTGTTTCCTGGTTGATGCATAATAGATTTTAAAAAAAATATCGACTTTTCAAATATTTTCGTTTTTGCTTTAAATTTCATTTTCTATAATGTGCTGATCATGGTAAGGTGAAATCATGATAAATATTGCTGATCTATCAAAATTTATGTCATTCTTTCAAATACACATTTACGTGAACATTTTCAACTCTGTCCTGAAATGTTCAAACAAAACAAACAGATGAACGGATCTGGTTGTCAGTGGAGAATTTTGTCACAAACAATTGTACAGCTGCTATCCCTCAGCCCATATGTCACAAAAATGTTACAGCTGCTATCAGCCAGCCCATATGTCACAAACAATGGTACAGCTGCTATCATCCAGCCCATTTGTCACAAACAATGGTACAGCTGCTATCACCCAGCCCATATGTCACAAACAATTGTACAGCTGCTATCACTCAGTCCATATGTCACAAAAATGGTACAGCTGCTATCATCCAGCCCATGTGTCACAAACAATGGTACATCTGCTATCATCCAGCCCATTTGTCACAAACAATGGTACAGCTGCTATCACTCAGTCCATATGTCACAAAAATGGTACAGCAGCTATCATCCAGCCCATGTGTCACAAACAATGGTACAGCTGCTATCACCCAGCCCATATGTCACAAACAATGGTACAGCTGCTATCATCCAGCTCGTATGTCACAAACAATGGTACAGCTGCTATCACCCAGCCCATATGTCACAAACAATGGTACAGCTGCTATCATCCAGCCCGTATGTCACAAACAATGGTACAGCTGCTAATCACACAGCCCATTTGTCACAAACAATGGTACAGCTGCTATCATCCAGACCTTAGTTTTTAAGCTGTAAACTAAATTAATTTTAAAATACAAACACCCACCACATCAACTCAAACGAACTGATGAATGAACCGGGCGTTAACAACACAAAAGTAAAACCCTTTTCCCTCTCTCCCTTCCTCTCTTTTCCTAGCTTTCCTTGTTTTTTACTAACATATATAAAAGAAGGTTTACAAACAAATTAAACAATTATGAATAATTACAAAGTCTTAAGGTTATAACAAGACAATGGACAAAGACAGTGTAACATATGTGTTCCTTTCAGTTAAACGATCGGATAGATGGCAGCTGAGGCGATACCACACTGGTTCCGTTTGTTTCTAGACATAAAGATGTAGCCACTCTCGCCCCAGGACGTTCCCCAGCTGTGGACAAAAAAGGCGTGAATACTTGTTACGAAGGAAGTAAACATTGGTATTGAACTTACGAACATTAAACAACCCCTACATTTTTTTCTTTTTTTCGAATAAATCCTTTATAAAATGTAATATCGAGTTTATGGGGCTGACAATTTTGACAAACCAGACTTTCAAATAACGCACTTTATAAGAATCCCAATTAGTGGTCTCTCTCTCCCCCAAAAGGCTGGCAACCGCACATTTTTTTTCCACGCTTTGAACTATATTAATTTTCTAATGACACAAACGCTTTAACACCGCAGATTTACCTCACCAACTATTCCAGAAAAACAAAAGAAAATATTATACGCATCAAATGCACGTGCGATATTTGAAAAATAAGAATCTCATTAAGCGCAGTTATCGGGAATTTCCCTTCATGTCACCTTGAAAAACAGGAAAATTTTCAAGGGTTGAATGTGGGACTTAAAATTTGAGAGTGTTGTCATCGGCAATGAGTCTATGTGCTGAGTTTCAGCTCAATAGTTTGGAAGTTGGTTACTTAGCTGTCTGAAGATTTTGCCAGCCAGCCACGAAGAAAAACGAAGTTAATATAAAGGATTTAATTAAGCAGCCCGTACAAGCAACGATTTTCGTATAGATCCTTTATAGGCATTTAAAAATATTTTAAATTTTTGTTAATATTCCAATGCCCCACCCAATTTTACGCCGCATATTTGTTTCACCAACTATTTCAGAAAAAGAAAAGAAAATAGTAAGAACCAAAGGCACTTGCGATAATTTTATTAAAATCTGCGAAGTTATTATCGAGATTTTTTTTTCGTGAAATCATATTTCCTTCATAGTTCTCTTGAAAAACAACAACAACAACAAACCCCCCCCCCCACTGAATTTTGGGGGTTGCAGTGTGGGGCTGAAAATTTCATAGAATTTTTGTCATCGGCAACGAGTCTATGTGCCAAGTTTCAGCTTGATAGGTTGACGGGAAGTGGGTCGATTAGTTTTTTCGTGAAATCATATTTCCTTCCTAGTTCTCTTAAAAAACAACAACAACAACAAACCCCCCCCCCCCACTGAATTTTGGGGGTTGCAGTGTGGGGCTGAAAATTTCATAGAATTTTTGTCATCGGCAACGAGTCTATGTGCCAAGTTTCAGCTTGATAGGTTGACGGAAAGTGGGTCGATTAGCAGTACGAAAATTTTGCCAGCCAGCAATGAACAAAGGCGAAGTTATTATAAAGGATTTAAAAATAATGCTTTGCGAAATTCGTCTCACAGATCAGCCTAATCGTGGGATACTGGGTTTAATGACAAGGGTTCTAGTCTCGTAGAAGTATACCCTGAGGTTAATGAGGTGTATATTTTTATAAAATATTTAATTTTGTTAGTTTATAAATCTCTTTTACGTCAAGCTTCTCATGTTAAACGTATCCACAGTTTTGATAATAGTCTGCAGCCCCTATGGACTGTTGGACTGGGCGCACCCCCCCCCCCCCCCCCGTAAGAGTTAATTAACCCTTACAAAAGTAACAATTCATTTTTAAATTGAATCGCAAAGATAAAGACACCGACAAAGACACAGAAAAATAACGTGAGAATATTTCATAAAATTAAAATATTAAAGAAGAAATTAAAAAGTATATTGACATGTATATTATTGCTTTAAAAAATCAATGGCTCTTCTATTCTTTAAATAAGAAAGAACCTCTTCTCGTACCTCATGAAATACCAACACTGTGTAAGATCAAGCGTTTCTTCGATAATTAAATAATTTAACATCCCACCTGTTTTTCACGGTCCAGTAATCTTGATTTCCGCTTGTCCCATAGCCCACCACCAAGACAGCGTGGTCCAACTGGGACGTGCTGCAGGCAGGCTCGTCGTACACGCCGCCTTTATAGAGCTGGAAGCTTCTTTGGTTAGTAGCATCGATGGCAACACTCACTGGACCAACCTGTGGACCAGAGCGATGGCTGTAACGACAGTGACCTAGATATGGCACTGCCAAACAAGGTTGACATTTCTTAAGATACACACATGACATGGACATTTTTTTAAATACACACGAGACATGAACATTTCAAGGGAATACACATGAACTGTTGCCAATGTATTAAAGTGACATTACGTACCTGCAGTTAAATTTGTGACGAAAAAAATTCGTAAGACAATAATTCTCATTGTAACAATGTCACTAACGCTACCAGATGGCGCTGATTTCACTAAATAACATTTCTATAACTGAGCGAAATGAGATTCTTAAAAATACTCCAACTGCGTTGAGTGCCTAATTTATTTTTTTTCCAACATTGTTAATGCAATGAATTTGCTGTTGACTGTATCTATTAATAGAGTTCAGGGACGGTGGCGTAGTGGGTGGCGGTGGATAAAATGCGTCACTTGAATTCATTTCGTGTCAAATAACTTCAGTAGATGTCAAGTTCACGCAATGCGGCCGTCATTGTTTGGGCGGGTTATCGCTAGTATACACGAATACAAATGCACCAATGCCACCGAGTTACGCTCTGTTCAACAGCGCGAAAAATTAAAGTCCCCAAAAGTGCACCCAACAGTGCGTACATTTGTGTTGTATAGGCACGTAATATAAAATCCCTATTTATAAATGGTGCTCTTAAAACAATGTGATAGATTTTTTGGGGGTATTTTTACGAAAATCTAATCAATTTAAACGTGATAAAATAAATAATATGCTTCTATGTAATCATTTGCAACCGAATGTGTAAGTATTATCATTATGAATGATAATTTACATTTAATATAATCATTAAATAATCACTTAAAGGATTTTATGTGATTGTAAGAGTTAATGTATTGTATTTAAATGAGATTTGACACCCTTTACATTCATAAATATTTCATTAAAATAACATAGGGCTTTTAGTCCTCAGTAACAATACAGAAACCCAAAACTGATCATGTTTTGCCACTCTTTTTTAGATCATTAAAATTGCTTGCTTTTTTACATTGTTAACGAATCCATTAAAATACCACTCCAAATGGAACCCGTTGTACCTTTAACATTTTATAAGTTTTACTTATTTTTTTTTCACTTTAAACTTTTGCATTTATAAAGGAAACTATACCTATAGCAACTTTACTTTGACAAGTCAACGGAGTGGGGTAACATTTAAAATGAGAAATAATACATAAGGAATTGCGTTCAATGGCATGTAAAGTAAATAAGTAGTGGAAAAAGATATGTTTAGGCTTGAAAAGAAAAGACAAATTAAGTGGACATTTCGGCAAGATGCCTTCTTCAACAGACAATGCAACAAACAACATATAAATTAAAATTAATTTTTGTTTAACGAATATCTCAGTAATTTAATGCAACTCCATCTTCAGAACAGGAATCAACCGATCAAGCAGATACATTTTAGATAATTAATCTGCTACATAGATATTTTTAAAAAAAATTAAAGTCTTACAAGTTTTTACAATTTTTTGAAAAAGTTTGATTAGCCATCAGTGATATAGAATATAATAATTCTCATAACCCAATCATTTTAGAAATTTAAATAACTATACTTAGACGATTCTTCAAAAATAAAGGAGGTTTGATTTACTATTTCCTAAATATGCATTTTAAGAGAATAGAAAAGGACACATTACATCAAAACCTGTTTCAGTTACGTACGTAAAAATGTTTTTTTGTGTTGATTTTTATATGTTGACTTTGAAATAGCAAGTAAAAAGTAGCGCAGTACGCTTTAGATCAGAGGTTCTCAACCGTCCCAATGCCGTGTCCCAAAATTATACAGTTCCTCATGTTGCGGTGACCCCCAACCATAAAATTATTTTCGTTGCTAAATACTTCATAAATAAATGTTTTCCGATGATCTCAGGGCAACCCTTGTGTAAGGGTTGCTCGACCCACAAAGGTGTCGCGACTAGAGACCGACCGAATTTCCGCTTCGGCTTCGGTTTCGGCGCCGAAAGTGGCCATTTTATCACTTTCGGCCAAGTTTCGGTTTTTGCCGAAACTGAAAAGTTAACTTTTGGTTTAATTTAGGTTTTTGTCGGTTTCGGCCGAAATTGACTTAGACTTTCGGCCATCCGGCCAAAAGTGACTCAGGTTTTCGGTCATCTAATACTCAGCGAAAGCGATAGTTAAAAACAAACTAAGCCACATTTAAGAACAAATTAAGCGATCTTTTAGAACAAACTAAACGATATTTAACAACAAACTAAGTGACATTTAAGAACAAACTAAACGATCTTTAAAACAAACTAAGCGATCTTTAAGAATGAACTAAATGATTTTTAAGAACAAAACAAATTATCTTTAATAGTAAACTAAATGATTTATAAGTATAAGAATAAACTAAGCGATCTTTAACAGAAAAATAAAAGTTCTTTAGGAACAACTAAAAGATCTTTAAGAACAAACTGATCGATCTTAAGGAACAAAATCAATTATCTTTAAGAACAAACTAAGCGATCTTTATGAAAAAAAAATAAGCGATATTCAACAACAAAATAAGCGATCTTTAAGAACAAACTAAAAGATCTATAAAAACAAACTAAATGATCTTTAAGAACAAACTGAATGATCTTTAAGAACAACTAAGCGATATTTAAGAAAAAATCAATGTTCTTTAAGAACAAACTAAGCGATCTTCAGGAAAAAACTAAGCGATCTTTTAATAAGACAAACTAAGCCGTCTTTAAGAAAAAAAACTTAGCAATCTTTTTTTAACAAACTAAATGATCTTTAAGAACAAACTAAAAGATCTTAAAAAAAACTAAGCGATCTTTAAGAAAAAACGAAGTGATCTTTAACAACAAACTAAGCGATCTTTAAGAACAAACTAAGCGATCTTTATTAACAAACTAACCGATCTTTAAGAACAAATGAAGTGATCATTAACAAAAAAACTAAACGATCTTTAACAACAAACTAAGCGATCTTTAACATCAAACTAAGCGATCTTTATAAACTAACTAAACTAACCGATCTTTTAGAACAAATAAATCGATCACTAAAAAAAAAACTGAACGATCTTTAACAATAAACTAAGCGATCTTTAAGATCACACTAAACGATCTTTAACAACAAAATAAGTGATCTTTAAGAAAAAATTAAGCGATCTTTATGAACAAACTCATCGATCATGAACAACAAACTAAACGATCTTTAAAAACAAACCATGCGATCCTTATGAACAAACTAACCGATATTTAAGAACAAACTAAGCGGTCTTTAAGAACAAACTAAACAATCATTAAAAACAAATAAAGTGACCTTTAAGAACAAATTAAGCGATCTTTGAGAACCATGATCAGAACAAAAATTTTAATAAACCCGGTTAAAAAATTTTTTTCGCCACCAATGGAGGTGAGGGAGGCTGGTCTCCGAACGAAATAATTACGTCACCAGCACGGGAAGACTATTGTGTTTTTAGTAGGTTAAATATTATTTATACAGTGATATCTTGCAAGCTATTAATGAAACACAAAACAGCGAAACATTCTGGTTATACTTTTATAGCCTTAATATCATATATTTAGGTGGCTCTATTAGAGCCACAATAATTATTGTAGGTATATGTTCTAGGTTGCAATTATATTATAAAAGCAAAGGGCACTCAAGAGTCTATTTTGCATTAATTTTGCCCCCCCCCCCCCATTTTTGCCAAATTTTCTCCTACCATCCTAATTTTAAAAAAAGTAAAGCAATTTAAATTACTTTTATATTAAAAAAGTAAAATTCAAAGTATTCATTAAATCAAAGGCCCCACACTCAAATCATATCAAAGTATTCATTAGATCAAAGGTCCCACACTCAAATCATCAGGGGGGGGGGGGGGCGCAGGGGGTAGGGTCTGAATGAGAGTGGGCCGCATCAAGTAATCCACAAAAAAGCGATTACAACTGTTACAATCTGCTCAACCTTTATAAATAACAATAAAAACATTAAGTGTTCTCAAGATCTAGGATTCACTTTCTTCCACTTACTCACTGTTGTCAGAGATCTGACAGCGCTTCTTTTTACACGGCTTAGCAACTTTGGCTTGAGTGTGGGAAGCAACTGACACTCTCAGTATAGCTTGAAGATCCTCATCAGTAAGTTTGGTCTTGAACTTTGACTTGTTAAAGTGCGTAGTGGAAAAGAGTTTTTCACACCGATAGGTACTCCCTAAAAGACATATGTACCGCTTGAACAACCTAACAATTTCAGAGAAGGTTTGAGGACAATGCAATTAAATGTCCATGCTTGTCTGTTTTTCCATTCAGCTCCCCGCGTGGGGCATCTTGCACATTAAAGGAGAGAGGGTCAGCAAAAAAGCTGAAAAGTGGCTGTCTGTGTTTTGAAGTCGAAAAAAATGTAGAGACCCAGATTGGGTAAAAAGGCATAAGAAGAAGATTTAGGAAGTGACCAAGCTGACAGGCTCGGAATTTACCTCACTCGTAAACACTAGCGACAATTTTAATATGTATCCTTTGATAATGTATCAGATTGTTACGATTTACACAATTATGGGTGTGCATTACCCGTCATCTTATTTTTAAAAACTTTTCTCAAAGCCGAACTCTTTGCCATGTTTGTCTCATAAAAAGCTATAAAATTAAAAACTTTTATTCCGATTTTAATAGGGTTCTTACCATTATAATAATAAAAAAAAAATATATAGAAACATTAACAAAAATCAGAGTTAGACTAGTCGGTGAGATTCGACTGAAACCGTCGCGGAGAGTCACGTTATAGATATGAGATTGGGGGAAAGGCGCCGGCGCATTAACACTAAACTTTTCTGTCATGTAGAGGGTCGGAAAATATCGTCTTACGTGTCACAAATGGCTCGTGGTCTGCGAGTTTGAGACCCCTATATTAGATGTTTATTTTTTAATATTCACGATTATCTCATTTTTTATAAAAAGAATGTAAATATTAATACTTTCCCCCATCATTTTCGATGTATGCAGAATTTATGCGGGAACGAATTTCAAAATATCTAAATATTTCATTGTCGGTTTCGGCTGAAAGTCATTTTTAACTTTCGGCCTTTTTTCGGTGTCAGCCGAAAGTCATTTTTAAACTTTCAGCCTATTTTCGGTTTCGGCCGAAAGTCATTTTAAACTTTCGGCCTATTTTTGGCTTCGCCGAAATCAGAAAATCACTTTCGGTCTCTAGTAGCGACCCACAGTTTGAGATCGCTGCTTACATTATTACCCATGAAACACCGGGTTATGACTTCTTGTCTTATAATACTTAGTGTTGAGACATTTTATTTGTTTACCATGGCAACAGCTTTCTGAAGGTCATCCTCGCTGCCAATCGTCACTTTGCTGTAGGAACTGATCTTTGCACCGATATTGATGGATGAAAATTGGCAACTGCTTTGCTGTAAAAACACATTTAGTATATTATGTATTTTAATGCATTTCAAGAATAATTTTACCTCGTTTCTAATGTTGAAATGTTTTAATGAATCATGAACATCGAGCGAATGATTAGAATCTGTATTATGTACGGCAGGTACCGAGCACATCCCTTGTCTGCCCACGCAGGACGCGCCCAGTAGTTTTGTCCCCCGGGTAACGCCGAGGGGGTCGGTGGCCGACGCCTCCTAATCGACAAGCCACCACAGGCTTGTCAACTGGAGCTCCTACAGGGCTGCCATTTGTGATACTTCACAGCTGGAAAAATAGGCAGAGACAGGGTAGGGATCATGATTACAAGTTGCCGTTAATGGATATGAGGCGAGAGGCGAAGGTGGTAACCTCTAGCCGATGATTCTTACTACGCAGCCCTGAGAAGCTGCTCCAAGGCAACCGTTTCGTCCCAGCTACATCGCGAATTAGTTGCGTTGTGGAAACCCACTGTGGAACCCCTCTTATAGGGCGTCTAACGCTTCCCCGGGATGGGTGGGGGAAGATATTAGGACGTACATTTTTCCATCCCGACTCCTGAAAAAGTCGATCGTGTGCACTGTATGCAAACATAGTGTCGGACCGACCGGGTGTCTTTGGGTTGAGACGGCCCCCGGTGGAGACCTGGTCGAGCAGACTCGGGTGGGGGCCGTCCTGACAAAGGGACATCCTCGACGTGCCGCTCCGCGGCCCGATACCGGGTTGGGGAGGGGTGTTTCGGGGAGGGCATAAAGAGCGCAAGCTCGACGGCCCGCTGATGCCATTTCTTAATGTAATATTAGAATCTGTAAGGGTAATTAGAGCACATCAGGGGCCTGTCACGGTAAGTGGGACATATCTGGGGTCTGTAACTAGAACCTACCTGGGGAGTGTAAGGGTAAGATGACTCTGTATCGATTCCTCCGTTATTGATAATATATTGAAATCCTTTCTCCATCGAGCCACCGTTACAGCCCAAGTTAGCTGTTGTAAAAAGAGAAGTGTCTCCTCGTTTTGAAATATATCACACAAATGTTCTTCTTCAAATATAAGTTTATAAAATAAGTTTTACATTGATAGTGGTAAATGTAGCACAACTGCCAATACAAATACAGCACGCCTTAGAGTCTTCCAGCTCTAGACACAACATCCTCTGGGGGCCACCTGCTCTAGACACAACATCCTCTGGGGGCCAACTGCTCTAGACATAACATCCTCTGGGGGCCAACTGCTCTAGACATAAAATCCTCTGGGGGCCAACTACTCTAGTCACAACATCCTCTGGGGGCCAACTGCTCTAAACACAACATCCTCTGGGGGCGAACCTTCTCCAGTGGCCCACTGCTTGTGTTGGCTCTATTATCTAATGTAGACCTGATGTGAAACGAACCCAAGGTAAGCATTTTCAAATTCGTTAATTTTTCGTTTGGTGTCACCCCCTCGGAAGGCGTCACCTGCAACGATCCATATCCCCCCACCCGCTCCCGATCACACCCAATAACGTCTGCATTACCAATTTTAAAAAGAAAGTTATAATAAATAGTTACGTTACTACCTTTAAGTTTCTCTAGAAATATTTTCAGCTTACCCGTTGAACAGTCAACAAGATTTGATTCTGAAAGTGAAACGAGACTTCCGGTGGCCTTGAAATGTTGACCTTCAACCGAGCCAATGGTGGAGAAAGCCCAACAAGATCCGCATAAACCTTGATCTTTGACACCCGTCACAGCGCCCCTTGTTCTCCAGTCCACGCTGTCCACTAATATACCCTTATACATGCCACTGACCACTGGCAAAAGTTGCTCTAGGTCAAGGGTCGGGAACCTATGGCTCTTTTAATGGCTGCATCTGGCTCGCAGACAAATGTTCGATTATTAAAAAAAAGTCGCATTAATGGTAGGAAATACTCATTATTGATTAGCAACAGCATAACAATGTTATTAAAAAGAATTCAGAGACATAATTATTGTATTTTTAGTGTTGAAATTAGACAAAGTGCACACATTTTCTTGAATTTTTAGTTTTAAACACAATGTATGGCTCTCACAGAATTACTTTTCAAAATATGTGGTGTCCATGTCTCTCTCAGACAAAAAGGTTCCCGACCCCTGCTCTAGGTTTTCCAGGTTATTGTAACATTTCATACTCCTGGAGAATTCTTCCGAAGTCTGACAAGATAAAAGAAAGAGATGCTATCAAATTGCTTGATAAGTAATCACAAATATTCAGGGACACACAAATAATGATTGGTCTTTGTACCGCATAAGCGGTCATCTTTAAGGGCACCATACCTGACCTTCTTGACACAACAAGGGCACCATACCTGACCTTCTTGACACAACAAGGGCACCATAGCTGACCTTCTTGACACAACAAGGGCACCATACCTGACCTTCTTGACACAACAAGGGCACCATACCTGACCTTCTTGACACAACAAGGGCACCATACCTGACCTTCTTGACACAACAAGGGCACCATACCTGACCTTCTTGACACAACAAGGGCACCATACCTGACCTTCTTGACACAACAAGGGCACCATACCTGACCTTCTTGACACAACAAGGGCACCATAGCTGACCTTCTTGACACAACAAGGGCACCATACCTGACCTTCTTGACACAACATTTCTTCCTGGTTTTAGAGACCGCCATCAACTTCTCTATGTTTTTGATGACCAGAGACTTTCGTTTGTATTATCACACGCAGGTCCAATTCAAAGGAACCTAAATTTCCACTAGCATCGCTTTAGTGGCTCCCCGATGAAATTTAGAGTTAACTCATTTGTGCATCAAAATGCATCCATGCATTTTAAATTGATCAAAAAAATTTTTCTGGGAATGGGGCTCAGAAACCCAAAATGAATCCATGGAATCCACAGGGAAAAAGAAAGAGAGGAAGGCCAAAGAACACACGGAGACGCGTGGCTAGAGGCAGACACGCAAAATATGGGATACACCTGGAAACAACTGGAGAGGAAAGCCCAGGACTGTGGTGAGAGGAATGTTCTTGTGGACGGCCTATGCCCTGACGGGGTCAAACGGCATAAGAAAAAGAAGAAGAAAAAGAAGAAGAAGAAAGGGCTCAGGGGCAGTCACACTTTGTTTTATTTTTTAAAGTTATTATAAATAAATAAATAAATATATATAAATAAGTTGATGCAATCATAATCAATTTTATGTGTTGAACGTTCTATCTTGGTGTGTGGGCCATTTATTAGAAGTTTCGCTCACCGTAGCAACAACGACCTGGATGCGCTACTTAACACAACCTTACAGAAGTTGATGAAGAATCTCCTTACCTTTTATCATGCAAAATGATTTTAATTATCTCTGTAAGTGACCTTAACATTTCCAAGCGGTGACTAGAAATAATCGAAAGAGACACATTAGTGTCATTAGGTATCCCAATATCATTATCAGGCCTGGAGGACAGTTTGAATCATGAGGCCTCGTTCCTGTCTAAACTTTGTCGTTGTTTGACGTACATATCCCTGTTTCATATACTTTTGTGTTTAATGACCATTTGATGACAGAATTACTAAAACTCACCAAGTCTGCATACTTGTTCTCCCCGAGATAGTAACTCTTCAATCCTTTCGCGTACAATTCATTGTGCTCTTCGATAGTCCTCAGGTTGGACTGCCAAATAAAGCGCCTGATGACGTCATCATCTCCTGTGTAGGTTTTGTTGTATCTTGCTTTGAAAACCACCCATTCAGCCTCGGTGCTTGCAGACGCCAAGTTCAAGGAGAAAGCGAAAATGGCCAGTTGCAACATCTGGAAAATAATTGTAAGTCATAAAATAATTTTTAATTGGCTCTGTTAATTCCCGGTACACGATCCTTTTAAAAACTCTGTCGGTTACAACAGTAGGCAACTAATTATGTCACATTGACAATAACTCTAGGGAAACGAACGCTGGAATTACACCCAGCAAGAACCGTATGCTTCAAACTTCAAGCCTTCTGGAATTTAAACAGAAAACCTGTAATGATGACCTAGGTTCACTCAATATGCGTATTCGGCTTACTGTAAAAGTAATTCTGTCAAATAATAGACAAACATCTCTTAGGTGAAACTCTGTTTGAAAAAAAAAAAACAAAGAAAAAAAAAACAAAAAACAAACAGAAAACGAGAACCCGATTTAGCAAATAACAATTGGAATTTAAACAAAAAACCTGTAATTATGACCTAGGTTCACTCAATATGCGTATTCGGCTTACTGTAAAAGTAATTCTGTCAAAAAATAAACAAACATCTCTTAGGTGAAACTCTGTTTGAAAAAAAAAAAACAAAGAAAAAAAAAACAACAAACAAACAGCAAACGAGAACCCGATTTAGCAAATAACAATCTTGATGAATGTAACGTTCTTTAAAGAAAATATCGCAAAGTTATTTAAAGAGGTGAGATTATTTTAATTATAATTTAACTACATGCTTAAAAATCCCATATAAGGCAGGTGGTCGTACGTACGTCCATTGTAATGCGCCTTGCTCACCTCGTGAAGTTATCAGAGTCGAGCCTGTGCAGGGAGTGATTTCAACATATTTTAAAACTTGTATATATATGGTCACACAATCTTGAAATAGCTTTTGGAATTTTTAAATCCTTTAAGACATTCTCGTTTCCTCTCCACACCCCCCCCCCCCCCCCCTTTTCGCCGAAGGGTTTTTATTCTTGGAAAGCGCAACCGAAAGCATATCAACTGCATCTCCTCTGCCAGGAAATAAATTCCTCGTCACTTGTGAAATGGGCGGTTCTGTCGCATAAGTTCTGTTGTTATATGTTTGAGTTCCCCCTTGGAAATTTGGATAATACAGACGACACTATGGTACAACAACAAAAAAAACAACAACAAAACTGGAACGACTGAAAGTTCAATCCAGACATGGGGCTCTTTCAATACAGACATGGGGCTCTTTCAATACAGACATGGCTCTTTCAATACACAAATGTGTTCTTTCAATACACACAGAGGCTCTTTTCATCCCATATTTAAAGCTTTTGGTTATAATGAATAGTTTCTTTAATAAAACACTTCCTGGGGATACGGACTGCGAGAAACTCAAGTGTGTGTGTATGTGTGTATGTGTGTATTTATGCGTGTGCCGAAGTGTGACGTAGGTGGCCAGGGGCGGGGGGAGGGGGGTGGGGTTAGCATTTATTTGAAAGTCAAAGTAGACATTGAAGTAGCTTTTTAATACGTTTGGGCGTTATGGGCTTCTCATTTACAGGCGTAAAAATTGATGGTAAAAGAGTCGTATGGTGATCTTGATAAATCGACCAGTCACTTCTAGGAGTTATGAAATAATATTTTAGCAAATATTTTTATAAGGTCAAATGAAGTAGAAGCAGTCTAAATTGGGAGAAATAGATCATGCTATGAACAATTGTGTGGCAATTTTTAATTGGTAATTTATCTGCAAAAGAAAATAATACTAGAGAACAAAAATTTTACGAAATCCAGGCTATTGAAAAATCACCTTTTCTTATTTTCCAAACAGTTATCAATCGCAAACGCCCCCCTTCCCCCCCCCCCCCCCCCCCCCCCCCCCCCCCCCCCCCCTCCCCCCCCCCCCCCCCCCCCCCCCCCCCCCCCCCGGCCCGCACCTCAATCACATTCCTCGATCCAGCATACTTGAAGCTCTACCGCCGACTAATAAACATGGGCGACCTTTCAGGTCAGCGAGTAAGGACTCATTCGACCGAATGAAAGAGTCACGGGTGTCAAGACTAAAAATACTCTTTACAATATGGAAATTCGACTACAGAGAAAATCTTTAAAAGTATCTTTAAATTTGATTTCATAACTATTGAGAAAAATCATAAAGACTTACACAATAATAATACACGTGTCCATCCTAGTTCCAGCATTTACACGTCACCAAGATCAAATTGTTTTATTATTTTAATTTTTTTCCATCAATCTTATTTAAAATAAGAAACCAGACTTTTGAAAAAGTAAATCATTAACATACCTAGGATCTTTATTAAATGAATGAAATTAATTACTAACAGAAATAAAAGAAAGAATGTAGGCCGGAAATAAGGCATGCTACAGTAGTTAGTAAATACTCAGAGAAGTAAAAACATTACGAGAAAAACAAATACAATTATATAAAAACTGGAATTCGATTAGTTGTATCATATGCAAGTGAAACTTGGGCCCAACAAAAACGGAAGAAAACATGGTAGATAAAGTTCTCCGTAAAATATATGGACCAACAAAGGATGAATATGAATGGAGAATACGACCCAACCACGAATCGCATGGACTATATCAGGATCACACGCTAGTTGCAGAAATGAAAGAGGGCAGTCTACGCTGGACAGGGCACTTAGAAAAAAATGCCAAATGACAGAAGAGTGAAGAGGGTGCAACATCAAAACCCCTAGAAGAAAATGTCTCAAAGGCAGACTCAGGCTTAGATGGATGGAGCATGTGGAAAAAAATATCTACAGCAACTAGGAATCCAAGCTGGGAAAAGAAAATCATCAATTAGGTCTGAGTGGAAGGAAGTAGGGAGGCAGGCCAAAGCCCTACACGGGCTTTAAAGCCACAGGGATAGGATGATTTCCATCCATTAGATTCTATTTACCTTAAGTCACTTAAAAACAACTTTCCCTAATCTTGGAGGGTTAAATATTGATCACACTTTTTCTGACGGTGAGATATTTTGATACTTCAAGTGTGGTTGATCGTCGTCTTACCTATACTTCAAGTGTGGTTGATCGCCGTCTTACCTATACTTCAAGTGTGGTTGATCGCCGTCTTACCTATACTTCAAGTGTGGTTGATCGTCGTCTTACCTATACTTCAAGTGTGGTTGATCGTCGTCTTACCTATACTTCAAGTGTGGTTGATCGTCGTCTTACCTATACTTCAAGTGTGGTTGATCGTCGTCTTACCTATACTTCAAGTGTGGTTGATCGTCGTCTTACCTATACTTCAAGTGTGGTTGATCGTCGTCTTACCTATACTTCAAGTGTGGTTGATCGTCGTCTTACCTATACTTCAAGTGTGGTTGATCGTCGTCTTACCTATTTCGAATTTTATACAGTTTAAATTTGGTATCAAACAAGAATTACAACTACGCAGTCGTCAGATCAGAAACCATGGGTTTGCTAAGGTATGGGTATCGATACGTACTGAAGCAGTGTGTCTGTATGAGAAATCTGAAATGTTCAAAGAATGAGTGTCTGTGTGCAAAGTCAGAAATGTTTAAAGCATTCAAGGTAAAAATGTAACTCTAATTCTGTGAATTGTAGCTTTATTTATACAGAACTCCATTTTCCTTGGGTAAATAACACAACTGGTCTTTAAAAAAAACATAAACATTGTTGGTATAGGTTTTGGGATTTTGTAGTTTCCTCAGTAGAGTTGAGCACTGGTCAGCGCCTGTCACCGCCCGCCACTGAGGTGGTGGTCTTGTCTTGCTCACAATCGATCAGTTCATAGCTGTCACTCATCAACAGGTGCCAGTTCATGCGGTTGTTCTAAAATGTGCGTCCTGCATTGTTCATTCGCTGATAGTGTTTGACATGTGTGCATCGCATGACGTATTGGTTGTCTAACCTTTTTAAATGCTGATTCAGTAGGCTTTATAACAACAAAACAAACACTGTTAACAAGGAAATGAACTTTATTTGGTTAAATTTAATTTATGAACTCAACCTAATTTCATGTCCAACTAATTATTGGCGTCAACAAGACAAATCTCTCTCTCTCTCTCTTTGTCTCTCTCTCTGTCTCTGTCTGTCTGTCTCTCTCTCTCTCTCTCTCTCTCTCTCTGCGTGTCCCTGTCTCCCCCTCTCTCCGCTTAACCTTCTCTTTCTCTCTCTCTCTATCTCTCTCTCTCTCTCGCAAATTCCGTGTATGTTGAATAAACTATTAAAGAATGGGAGTTTTAGAACAGTTTTGATACATATTAAAATTAATGAATACATACAAATTGTAATGTGAAAACAAGACCACGTGCAAACAATTGTAACATTATTCCCTTATATTGTTTTAAACAATCGGATACATGGCAGCTGTAGCAATACCACACTGGTTCTTTTTGTTTCTTGACATAAAGATGTAGCCACTCTGGCCCCAGGTAGTTCCCCAGCTGTGGATGAAAGACAATGGTAATTTATTAGGATGGAAGTACACTCCTTATCTTACTTTTAAAAAAAAATGTTTAGCGTATGTACTATATACCAGCTCAAGGTGGGGTTAGCGAAATGAGATCGTTCATAGCGCATTCTGGACTACACAGTTTTATAGCACGTTCTGGACCACATACTACGTAACCATGTCCCACATATCAAAAATTTTTTTGATGTTCTGTAAAGTTTTCAATACAAGGACACAGTCTTAAGATGAGGCTCGTTTTGGACTCATGTTTTGGTCTCTTATTTTGGTCTCTTGTTTTGTTCTCTTGTTTTTGTCTCTTGTTTTGGTCTCTGTCAAGGTCATGAAATCAGAGGTGTGTGTGTTTGGTGATTTGTGACAATTGGGTTATGTGAACGAATGTGAACTCTTGTCATCAAGTACGACTGCGTGGAATTTTGGGATGATAAAGGGGGACAACATTTATGAGCGTCAGAGTAAACTAGGGGTCTAGAGTCATATAGTTGTTTTGGTCAGACACAGACTTCGGGTGATATTTGCTGCTGGATGTTTAGGTGGCAATTTCGTTGTGTTTAGCAAGTGAATGTTTTTTTTATAAGAAATAAAGGCATAGACTAATATATCCTGAACCTTTTAGTGTTTTGATTCACACTAGTCCGAGTTATAACCAAGGAATACATGCCATCGGAAGATAAGATATCAAATATTTGCCATCGAAATAGTCGCCAGCATCACTAAACCTTTAGAAAACGAAATATTTGAAAGTCTCTTGTTTTGGTCTATTGTTTTGGTCCCCTGTTTTGGTCTCTTGTTTTGGTCTCTTGTTTTGGTCTCTTGTTTTGGTCCCCTGTTTTGGTCTCTTGTTTTGGTCCCCTGTTTTGGTCTCTTGTTTTGGACTCTTGTTTTGGTCTCTTGTTTTGGTCTATTGTTTTGGTCCCCTGTTTTGGTCTCTTGTTTTGGTCTCTTGTTTTGGTCCCCTGTTTTGGGATCTTGTTTTGGCCCTCTGTTTTGGTCTCTAGTTTTGGTCTCATGTTTTGGTCTCTTGTTTTGGTCTCATATTTTAGTCTCTTGTTTGGTCTCATGTTTTGGTCTCATATTTTTGTACCTTGTTTTCGTCTCATATTTTGGTCTGGTAGATAAATATAGTTTAAATTTAGTTATATCAACATAAAAATAAATATAAAAGTTTTTAGTGTATAAATATCAATTTACTTAATTGTTACCGGTTCTAAATTAAAGTTTTAAATCGTTTTGCTACATATAGTCCCTACCCATACAAAAGAACCATTGCATGCCACGCGAATTGACTATCAACTATCACGTCTCATACGAACTGATTGACTATCACATGCCCCCCACGAACTGAGTGAGTATCGCATCCCCTAAGAACATACTATCACCCTCCATTTGAACTGACCATCAAGCACATCCCAGGTGCCCAACGAAAGGACTGATGATCATATCCGCATACCCAGTGACTGAGCATCACGCCACCTGCAAATTAATGGACCAAGCCTTGCCCCCAGAGCCGTTGATACAGTCATATATAAGGTGCCTACAGGTGTGATGTGGAAACAATTGGCCGATCATTTTTTGAATGCAAGGGCACTGCCAAATAGGGGCAGAAGCCCTACACAGATGCCAGCACCCGCCCCCTAAAAAGTAACATCTCATTTCAAAATTGAAAAAAAAAATCATTAATTTTTTCAATTGAATTTCAAAGACAAAAACCAAACGGTATCATTAAAAATTAAAGAACCCTTAAAAATAAGTTGTTCCTATCTCTGTCCTTTAGATGCATTTTTGTTTGCATTTATGTAATTGAAACGTGATTTATCATTTATGTGATTGTAACGTGATTTATCATTTATGTGATTGTCATTTATGTAATTGTAACGTGATTTATCATTTATGTGATTGTAACGTGATTTATCACTTATGCAATTGTCATTTATGTGATTGTAACGTGATTTATCATTTATGTGATTGTAACGTGATTTATCATTTATGTAATTGTCATTTATGTGATTGTAACGTGATTTATCATTTATGTGACTGTAACGTGATTTATTATTTATGTGATTGTAACGTGATTTATCATTTATGTAATTTTCATTTATGTAATTGTAACGTGATTTATCATTTATGTAATTGTAACGTGATTTATCATTTATGTGATTGTAACGTGATTTATCATTTATGTAATTGTCATTTATGTAATTGTAACGTGATTTATCATTTATGTAATTGTAACGTGATTTATCATTTATGTGATTGTAACGTGATTTATCATTAATGTAATTGTCATTTATGTAATTGTAACGTGATTTATCATTTATGTAATTGTAACGTGATTTATCATTTATGTCATTGTAACGTGATTTATCATTTATGTGATTGTAACGTGATTTATCATTTATGTGATTGTAACGTGATTTATCATTTATGTGATTGTAACGTGATTTATCATTTATGTGATTGTAACGTGATTTATCATTTATGTGATTGTAACGTGATTTATCATTTATGTGATCGTAACGTGATTTATCATTTATGTGATTGTAACGTGATTTATCATTTATGTAATTGTAACGTGATTTATCATTTATGTGATCGTAACGTGATTTATCATTTATGTAATTGTAACGTGATTTATCATTTATGTAATTGTTACGTGATTTATCATTTATGTCATTGTAACGTGATTTATCATTTATGTCATTGTACGTGATTTATCATTTATGTAATTGTAACGTGATTTATCATTTATGTCATTGTAACGTGATTTATCATTTATGTAATTGTAACGTGATTTATCATTTATGTCATTGTAACGTGATTTATCATTTATGTCATTGTAACGTGATTTATCATTTATGTGATTGTATCAACTTATTTTTGGTACGGGAATGTTTTTTTTTTTATTAAACAAAGTGCGTGTAAAACCTAATAGACTAAAGAGATCTTTAAACCCAAATATGTCACAATTACAAAGCACAATTAATCTCAACACCAAAACACGCAACCATTTAACGATTCGTATTAAATTCATCTTCCCCTTTAAAATAAAAAAAAAACAGGGAAAACTGTGTTTTGGGAAAATTGTCATCAACAATGAGTCTATGTGCCAAGTTTCAGTTCGATAAGATTACGGGAAGTGGGTCATCCAGGCGTCCGAAGATTTTGCCACATACACAAATAAAAGCAAAGTTCATATAAAGAATTTTTTTTAAAAAATCGACTTATTTCCCATTTAAATATTAATGGAGACATTAAAAGTTATATTGACATGTATGATGTTGCTTAAAAAATGACGGGCACCTCTAATCTTAAAATCATTAGAAATCTTTTCTCACAGCCCATGAAATATCAAACTAGCACCCCTACGGGTGCGAGCACCCCCGGGTTGCGAAAACATGGCTGAAGTGTTACTTTGATCATTAAACAGCCCCACCTGTTTTTCACGGTCCAGTAATCTTGATTTCCGCTTGTCCCATAGCCCACCACCAAGACAGCGTGGTCCAACTGGGACGTGGTGCAAGCAGGTTCGTTGTACACGCCGCCCTTATAGAGCTGGAAGCTTCTTTGGTTAGCGTCGATGGCAACACTCACTGGACCAACCTGTGGACCAGAGCGATGGCGTATACTCCAAGTTTATACATTGACATAGATTTAGCACTACCAAACACGGATATACGCCTTGATACACACACGAGTACGAGACTTGGACATTTCATTAAATTGACATGGGATATGGACATTTCATTTGACACACACGAGTCTTGGACATTTCTTTAGAGACACATGTGACTTGGACATTTATTAAGATACACTTGAGACTTGGACATTTCATCAGATACATATGAGATTTGGCCATTTCTTTAGATACACACGAGACTTGGTCATTTCTTTAGATAAACACGAGATATGGACAATTCATTAAAACACACGATACTACGGCATTTCTTTGGATACACACGAGGCTTGGACATTTCATCAGATACACACGAGATATGGACAATTCATTTAAACACACGACACTACGGCATTTCTTTGAAATAATCACACAAAATCGCGCGTGTTTGTAAAGTAACTCTGTAGGAAGGGGGTTAAATTCAGTGCAAACACATCTTATAATACTAAAACAGTGTTGAGAAGTTTCATTTGGTTACCAAGGCCACAGCTTTCTGTAGGTCATCCTCGCTTCCACGAATCACTTTGGTGTATGAACTGATCTTGGCACCGACATTGCTGGACGAAAATCGGCAACTGCTTTGCTGTAGGGAAAAAAACAACAAAAAAAAACACATTTATTATATTATGTATTTTATTGTAGTTCATAAATCTTGCTCCCGTCGTCTCTGATGTTGAAACGTGTTCATGTAGCATGAACATCAAGAAAATGAGTAAAAAATGGGTGAAGGCGCTGTGCCATAAACCTAGAGGCAGACGGCTTACCTTTTACAAATCTTTTAAATATGATTACAATTTTTTTCATTGTTGTTTGCGGATTTTTACAATTTTTGAGACAGGAAAACGTTTCTAGCGTCTTGTTGATCCTAAAGATTTGTATTTATGACTCGAGATCATTCAAGTTTAATTTCATTAAAGTCTATTTTTAAGGTCTAATTCCATTAAAGTCTCTTTTTAAAGACTAATTTCATTAAAGTCTCTTTTTAAAGTCTAATTTCAAGATACCTTGTAAGGCTTCAAGACTATACACTACACCTGGGGACTTTAAGATAAGTAGAATTTACCTGGGGCACGTGAGGTAAATATAATATACTTGAGGCAAGTAAGGTAAGTTGAATATACCTGGTGAAATTAAGTTAAGAAGTATATAACTCAGGCAAGTAAGGTAAGTAGAATATACCTGGGCTCTGTAAGGGTAAGATGACTCAGTATCGATTCCCCTGTTATTGATTATATATTGCAATGCCTTCTCCACCCAGCCACCGTTACATCCCATATTAGCTGTGAAAAAAAGGGAAAGTGTCACTTCTGTCATGACATGTCATTCAAATGTCATACATTTATGTATACAATAAGGAAACATTTTTATTTAAAGTGTAATTTGAAAGTGTTTCATGTAAGCACTACCACTAATGACAAGGCAGCACACATCAGAGTCTGCCTTATCTGGACGTCCACTGGCGGCACACTGCTCGGGTGACAGCCTATTCTTGTGACATCTTCTAAGACTGTGGCAACCTGTTCTGGGGGCTCTGTCTTTTAATTCAGGATCTTTTGTGAGGCTGACTTGAGCGAATTATTTTCAAACGTTAAATTTGTTCATTTGGTGTCACTCCTCTGGGAGGGTGTCACTGGTGCGGTCCACACCCCCCACCCACCATCAGGGCACCAGCTACTTTATTTTGTACACTGCCAATAGTAAGGCTAATCAATGCCAATTAGTATATTTAACGTTACCACCTCTAAGATTGTATGGAATTTATTTTCAGCTTACCCGTCGAACAGTCAACAAGATTTGATTCTGAAAGTGAAACGAGACTTCCGGTGGCCTTGAAATGTTGACCTTCAACTGATCCAATGGTGGAGAAAGCCCAGCAAGATCCGCATTGACCTTGATCTTTGACCCCCGTCACGGCGCCCTTTGTTCTCCAGTCCACGCTGTCCGGCAATATTCCCTTGTACATGCCACTGACCACTGGTGACGGTTGCTCTTGGACGTCCAGGTTAATGTAACCTTTCATACTTCTGGAGAATTCTTCCAAAGTCTGACAAGATAAAAGGGATTTTATCAAAATTATTTGACAGTAGGCAAATCCATTTTGTATTCAAAACATATGCATCCTTTTATGTTCCTCGGAAACTGTGCCTGGTAAGCTAAACTCGGAATGGCCGCACGTTGACAAAATCTTTACATTTTATAATGAGTTTTGAATTCTTTAAAGGTCGCTAATTCTGATATCAATTAAGTCTCTAAAAATTTACAAGAAAAAGTTTTCTAACAACTTGTTACAAAAGATTCCTTTCGAATATAAAAAAAAAATGAATTAATACATGTATCGATCTTTGTATATGTCTTAATATGTTGATTTAAGGGGAAAAAACAACATCGACACTACATAGCTTAAAGTAGTTTGACAAATGAAGTCTTGGGATAATCAAGCTACTACAACATGCCATGGAGCTGCGAAGGGATGTATGAAGGATCGGCGGCTCAAACAACATACTATGAGAAGTGGTGAGTTTTAAATAGTTCTCTTGTCCAATTGGTGTCTTACAGATTGAGATACAAAGTAAATCATGCTATTAAATGCGTCACCAATTAAATGACATTGAATGTGTCATCAATGACACGTCATTAAATATGTCATCAATAACATAACATGAAATATGACATTAAATATGTCACCAATGACATGATATTAAATATGTCATCAGTGACATGACATTATATACGTCACCAATGACATGACATTAAATAAGTCACCGATTATATTATGGGGTACGTTCAAATTTTTGTAACACAGAGTAGCTTGCCCGTGGTCGCCGCCTACTTTTACCACTTTGGGTCGGTTCAAAGATCCTGTTTGTTGTTTCTAAACTCGATTCCAGTATGTTAAGTAGGGTTCATTAAAACATAACCAATAAAATAGTTATTAAAATAAAATGTATACTTTTACTGGGAATAATTTCTTTCCTCTCAATTCACGGTGACGTCATTCGATCAATGTCTACGTAGCCAAACCACGACCACCACAAAAGACATGAAAGTGGAAATGTTATGCACCGACCGATAATGCTGTTTTCTCTCCGCAAAATAAATATTGTTTTCCTTCGTGATCGTACCCCAAACTGAAAACTTGAGTTTGAATGTGTTTTCCTTCGTGATCGTACCCCAAACTGACAACTTGAGTTTGAATGTGTTTTCCTTCGTGATCGTACCCCAAACTGACAACTTGAGTTTGAATGTGTTTTCCTTCATGATCGTACCCCAAACTGACAACTTGAGTTTGAATGTGTTGTCCTGTCAAAAAGTTGGCCCTATTTAAAAAACAATTTCGCCATATCGTAATGACTGTAACGTTACTTCTTAATATGTCCGTGGTCGTGACTTGAAACGCTTGAGAACCTGTGTACTAGAGCTACTGGACTTAATGTCCCAGCGCAGCTAACTATAGTTTACAAGTACTGGCGTATAGCTTTAATTTGTGTGTGTGTGTGGGGGGGGGGGATCTGTATTCTAAAAGTGTGTACCCGGGATTTTCCGAGATCGGAATATTTCCCGGAAAGTCTGTTGTTTACTGAAAATCGTGCGAGATCCCGGGAGAGAAACCCTAATTACTATCAAGCCCGGGACACATTTTAAGCCATGAATCATGGTCTCGTGTCTGGCTTAATTTTGTCATTGTTTTACCTACATCTCACTGTTTAATATCATGTTGTATTTAGGGAAAATTTGATTTCAAAAGGGCCAACTCACCAAGTCTGCATACTTGTTCTCCCCGAGATAGTAACTCTTCAATCCTTTCGCGTATAATTCATTGTGCTCTTCGATAGTCCTCAGGTTGGACTGCCAAATAAAGCGCCTGATGACGTCATCATCTCCTGTGTAGGTTTTGTTGTATCTTGCTTTGAAAACCACCCATTCAGCCTCGGTGCTTGCAGACGCCAAGTTCAAGGAGAAAGCGAAAATGGCCAGTTGCAACATCTGGAAAATAATTGTAAGTCATAAAATAATTTTTAATTGGCTCTGTTAATTCCCGGTACACGATCCTTTTAAAAACTCTGTCGGTTACAACAGTAGGCAACTAATTATGTCACATTGACAATAACTCTAGGGAAACGAACGCTGGAATTACACCCAGCAAGAACCGTATGCTTCAAACTTCAAGCCTTCTGGAATTTAAACAGAAAACCTGTAATGATGACCTAGGTTCACTCAATATGCGTATTCGGCTTACTGTAAAAGTAATTCTGTCAAATAATAGACAAACATCTCTTAGGTGAAACTCTGTTTGAAAAAAAAAAAACAAAGAAAAAAAAAACAAAAAACAAACAGAAAACGAGAACCCGATTTAGCAAATAACAATTTTAAATTTAATTAAGGCATTAAAAGCATTTTTTTTTAAAAAGACCACCCCCCCCCCTTTTTTTTTTTCTTTTTCAATTCTCATCATTGGATTTTTTATTATTTTCTTTAAATTTTATGAATATATTATGTAACAAACAAGCACTGATACAAGTGCCTTGCAATTAACTATTAAAGATTTTGCGTCATATGGCATTGATTTGTATACTTACTGCCCAGCATGTGCACTCACTAGAAATTGTTGCGCACCGAATCTTGTGTTTTATTGTGCGCGGTGGTGCTTGTGTAGTAGTTGAGTTAAACAATTTGATGGACTGAACCAATCAGTGACAGATCGTGACACTAATGTGGTATTCAATGGTTCTATTCTAGCTCCATGGTTATTAAGAAGTTTGATTTAAAAAAAAAGACCAATGTGTCCACAAAAAATTTCAAGATTTAAAAATACGTCCGTCGATATAATTTTACTACTAGATGGGGTAACACGTCCACGTCGTTGTGAGCTTAAAGTACGGGAAGAGCTGCATAATCTATAATAATACCAGACTCACGGACTCTGAGGGATCTTTAGCCCAAATGGACCACGTACCAGGTTACTTTTTACAATGTCACAAAGTCTAGGATGGGTCCTTATCTAATATTTCAGCACAAACTATTTATCAGTAATTTTCACAGTTCGGGTTTATCATCATGTTCAAGTATTAATATGAGAAGACACTGTGGTAGACCATGTTTTTGAAACTCAGTGTCGTAGACATGTGTTCTTTTGTGTGCATTTGGTGAGTACGTGATCAAGCACTACACGAGGGAAGCAGCGAATAAGAGCGCATTGCAATGTGCAATGAGAGCGGGGCGGACAAGATCCCCTCGGGAATTTTATTTTAAGATTAAGTTGGCGACGCTGGCTTAAATCGCCAAACTTGCAGATGAAGAAAACCCAACATATGCGTAAAGTCGGCCCATTCTATTCGGTGGTTAAAATCTATTTGAACATTAAAATACTAGCAACATTGACAAACAAAATGGATGCTGAGTTTTTAAAAAAAAATGAAATATTGTAAAGTTATCTAAAGGGGCGACATATATATTTAAATACCCTTATTTAATAACTTGACTTTAAAAATCCCATAAAATAAGTAGTTGTAGTTATACATCGTAATGCGCCTTGCTTACCTTTTGAAGTGATCAGATTCGAACTCGTGGATGGAGTGATGGCAATTTCATAGTCTAAAACGAATATACGGTGGTAAAATCTTAAAATAGCTCACGGTATTTCTACTATTCTTGTGACACTTCCACACACACAGCCGAAAACTTTTATCTGAAAGGATGTTTTTTTAATCTCAATTCAACCGAGGGCGTATAGAGTGGTCTTAATAGTCCAGGAACTAAATTACCCGCGAACACGTGTCAAGTGGGCGGTTCTAAAACCTATATAGGCTTGCTATTTGTTTGAGTTAAGTTTTGAGATTTAATAAATCGTGACAACCCCGTGGTTCAACTAATAGGGAACCGTTGCTTTTCTTTTGGTGTTTTCCCCAGTGTTAACGAGAGGGGGTTGTAGTTTAGTTGCGTTGTGAGGTCAATGGAGGCAACCTTCAAGTTTACAACCATCTCTTGTGGCGACCAACACTGGGGGAACCCTTGTCTGGGGGCAACCTGCTCTGGTGGCAATCTGCTCTGGTGGAACCCTGGTCTGTTGGCAACTTGCTCTGGTTGCAACCTGTTCTGGTGGAGCCCTGAACTGGTGGGAACTGGTGGCAACCGACTCTGGTAGAACCCTGGTCTGGTGGCAACCTGCTCTGGTGGAGCCCTGGTCTGGTGGCAACCTTCTCTGGTGGCAACCTACTCTGGTGGAACCCTTGTCTTGTAGCAACCTGCTCTGGTGGCAACCTGCTCTGGTAACACCCTACTCTGGTGGAACCCTGCTCTGGTGGCAACCGCCACTTGTAATAACCTGTGGTTGTATTTAACTACGATCGGTTAGGAAAATCTTCACGAGTAACCTTCTTTAAATTATGCATTCTCCATCTTTGTGACACCCCCACTCCCCCGTGGTACATAGCGTTTACTAGAAGATGTTGACTTAATAATGTACCCATTATGTTCATGATATGTCACACACGTACTTTGTAATTCAATTAAATAGTTTAAACAAATGATATAATATTTCGTCATCACATAGTATTTTGTGATATTTTGACCAAATTTGTATCATTAATCTTCTCTGAAGGATTGCTGGTACTGGGTCGCATTGGAAAATTAAACAGACCCTAAAAATAAAGTCTCTCGTATACATCCTTTATAAAATGTAATATTGGGCAATTTGGGGGGGGGGGGG